CGTGCGTGCAACAACGTTATTTCGAAATTAGGAGCGATATCACCTGCGCCTTAGTATGAACACAAGATCATATATTGGGAAGTCTATTACTCTGAGACCAAGTTGACGTACTAGGTTCGCATGTCGAGGCACAATGAACGCCAGAGGTCAAGCAGCCTCAGTGAATCAAAGCACGCTTGGTACATGTGATGTCAATCGTCCTGCTTATGGCGTCTTGTACACGAAAGACAGAAGCAATGTAATCCTTCCTACTTGTCAATCTGTGACTCTAGGTATTGTCGTATCAAAGCCTTGATTTCTTGACGAACAGTAGGGGGCACAGAACCTGCAACAACGTGGTTTTAGGTGCGAGAACTGCACGTAAAAGTGAGGAATTACCTTCAGCGTGGTCTCGGACGTCTGCCATGAGTTGACGCGCTTTTGCCTCATGCTGTGACCCGGCTGACCTGGCGGTCTCTGCAGCACCAAATCAGCCTTCCAATTGGAGGGACGCGTGTCGTACAAACCTTTGGTACGATGATGGACATCATCTACCCAGCCAGACTCAGCCAGACGTTGAGAGAGAGTGGCGGAGAGTCTGTTGTTTGTTTAGATTGACGAACAAATTGATGAAAACTCGTTCACCTGTCCCATTCGCCGCTCTCGATCATTCTGCGTTGCACCTGGGAGTACAGGGCAGTATTAGCAAGGTCGCTGCGAGATGGCATACCTCATACGCAGTGAGCGTAGCTTGCATCCACAGGAGGATTATGCCACACGGTAGTGTCGGTACGAGTTCGAGCTTCAAGTATAGTACCATGCCGGCATGCCGAGCGCCACAATGGTGATGTAATTGGGCGCCTGAAGGACTCTGATATTTGAGTCGCTTGTCCAACTTGAATGTCGGCCGACTGCCATGTCAGTGTAAGCGTTGTTTTGACTCTGTCTGGATCTTTTTGCTTATAACCCGCTATCTTACTATATTTCTTGTAGTGATACATACAATTCACCAGGATACCGACACTCATAGAGCTCAAAGTTGCCTCGCGACCTTCGAGTCGGGCATTGATGCAACGCGCACTGCGTCACAAGTCGAACATCTCTTCCAGGTTTTGACATGTCCCGCATTGCATAACTAAGCGACCTCCTACAAGCATGATGCTTGTGCGTTCACTGGCGACGCCAAATGCACTGTGTATGGTACAGAGGTACTAGTTCCACAATCTAAAGTGGCCGTCGTGCGAGATCCTGAGTGTCAGCTCTCAAGACGTACAAATCGCCGTATATCTGATTGTTGGTTTTGCAGGTTTGCACTTGATTAACATGCCGAGGTCCGTCCTGAACTTCACGGGTCCGTGGTGGATGGTTGCATGGGGTTTCTTGCAAAACCACTGATCGCTGAGGCAATGTGATCAATATACCTATGTGAGTCTGCAATTATCACTCAGATGTAGAAGGCTTGTTATGTGAGTCTGCAATTATCATACATAACTGGCGGCTCACTCAGATGTAGAAGGCTCGTTGAGCATAGCATTCTTGGCATGCGACATCTTCAAGAAATTTGAAGACAGCCGCAGTTCCACTGTAATCTTAACTCCCGTTCTCTCTATGCCACTCTCTAAGCGACTTCACGACAACACGATGGTGTCAGCATCTGCGATTATCATTATGGCCCTATGGATGGATGTCTCTCGGCGGATTCTACTTGCAATATTCCTCATTTTCTGCGTGCAGCCTGAACTCAGGGTCAGTACATTTGGACTGCCAGCTGGGAGACCAAGTTCCGTACGGTGACATTTTCGGGAGTTGTTGCATGAGTTTGATTGTTATACCACGCTGAAGATCTTCCAAACCTTCGTCTCAAGGGGACTCGAGTAGAGATGCACGTGGATAGTGTCGCTCATAGCAAGCCCCACGTGAGCTTTTTCTATTCCCATGTCATGTGCAGACAATGGCACTCATTTGTCCCATGCAGGGCCACACACACGACTGCTGGCAGGACGTGGGTGCCGAGGCATCGGGAAACGCCATGCCGACAGTGACGACCGTGAGTAGTTGCGACAGCGTGGTGTACCGCATGAAATCCAAGGATACAGTCTTGACGCTATGATGAACATGTTTCGTATTCAGAGTCTGACACTACGATGACGTTCCCTACTAGTCTCAGTCTCGACAATCACAACCTCGAGACGCCTTTGGGAGATTCGCAAAGCTGGACACGTCGGCCTGCAAATTGGCAAGCCACTAATGTTGCAACAATGATCCATTTGAACGCTTTGACAGCTACTCGATTGGACTGCCTGCGCTAACAAGGTTCGTGTCTACTATGCTCTGGCATTTGGTTGCTCGTGGTCTCACCCCGTCGCGATGGTTGAGTCCCGCTTAACTGCAAGGTAGACGTTATCTTCCTTCTCTTGCTACTGCATTGTTCCAGCAAGTCTTACTGAACAGTCGCGTGTCTAGACCTGTTCTTGATATAAACACATGCTCTGTATTCAAGCACGATTTGGCAGTGTCTGGAGACATGCCGCCGGTCAAGGTGCTTTCACCCAAGTTTTTATATGAGATGCAGCTGCATGAAAAGGCAGCTCTAGGCACGATTTTGAGTCGAGGGGAGCGGAGGCAAGTGCTTATTTATGATGAGATTGTAGCATTCTAGCATACTGACGCATCAATTGTTTTCTTGGTTCGTAGACAAGTCAGCGCTTCGTCCAGCATAGTAGCTCGACCAGCGGCAGTTCACTCGCACGCCAATTCCTGTTATCAACCAGCGAAAACTTTCGCTCACTGACCTCACTCTATATACAATGACCACCTCCTTCGAAGTCGCAGTAGGTCCATTACTGGTGTGCGTCTGCATCGCGTTCATGTAAGTGACATGCCACTGCTGCCGCACTACTATGACTTACTGGCCACTGTTGCAGCTTATTTGGGACATTCATCGCACAGTTATATTATTACTATCTGACCTACGGCGGCGACAGTACGGCCTTGAAAGTATATGTCTCGATAGTGGGGCAAGTATACTCAAGAAACTTCCTCTGGCACTCCATGAATGATATGTGTCCTCCACAGAGTACTAGAGACATGTCATACGATATTCTGCATGGTATTTCTCTATGGCTACCTCGTAACTCACTTTGGAGACCAGAAGAATGGTATTGACCGCGTGTCATGGTATGTCATTCTACCTTGTGTGATGCACATTGTCCTGAATTCTCGTCTACTACAGGGGAATACTCGTAAGCAGGTCCATGGTATCATTTGCGCTTTGCTGACAGCAAAACTAGGCCACCGTTGTATTTGAGGTAAATCGCTGACTCGAAGAGTACAGGAAGGTGCCTTACTCACGTATGTCTTCGTACAAAGATAGCCATCGTAGTCATGGCGCAATTGTAGGTCATTTCGATTTTGTAACATATCCTCCATGATTAATCAGCGTTGTCGTATGCATGTAGACTATACGCATGGCGTATTTGGCACGGTGAGAGGCACGGTCGCTCAATCGACCTACATGATATTCACATGTTGTCACAGTGAGCAATAAGAATATCATCTTGACGGCTATCCCTGTGCGTATTTGTGGTAGTTTCATCATGCGCTCACTCATGAACGAGAACTAGACAATCCTCGCATTCTTGCGGTTTTGTGCGTGCAGGCACTTGCTGTAAGCATGTCTATTACTGATGCACCGACACTTCGTAGGCTTTGGATTTGGTATGTGACAATACGCTTCTCGCATGTATCACTGGATGAATGAGCGCTTCCACCTCAGTGAGCTTTGGGCTATTGTACGCCTGACTATTTGTTCCATGCTTAAGCCCATTTACTTACAATAATCCCGTAGAGCACCATTGGTATCTTGGGACCAGCTTCCCAGTCACGAAACGCTACACGTATGGGTCGTTATAGCACAATGGGACTTAAAACTGATCACCAACTTTTGTTACTCAACAGGGCATCTTGACTACGACATATGCAATCGAGTTGGTGGCCGACGCCACTATTACTGTCTTTCTCGTATACTCTCTGATGAAAAGGCAAGCGACGACTAGAGTAAAACAGTGAGCAATGTCATTGCCCTCGATCCGCCAGTATACAGATCTAATGTTCCCTGTGACTAGGACACAAGATATCGTACAGAAACTGGTGTTTTACATTCTCAATACCGGGGTTGCCAACATGTGAGTACGGTCTACCCAGCAGTGATTTGTTTTGCAACACTCATTACTCGCCCCATCCAGCGTCTGCTCTGCCGCGGTGATCATTATGGTATCAAAGTTCCTCACCGTCGCGACTATGTTGGGCGCTGACACAGAATTAGTTCAACATATTGCCGGAAAGCCTGGCGTTCGCAGGGATTATTGAGATGAGAAGCAAACGTATGTGTCGTGGTTCATTTTCTGTTTCCTCGCGTCAATCTCATGATAGTTGTTTGTTGTTGTCAGTTTATGCAAACATCATGATGGCACTGTAAGTGGCAAGTTACCTGCAATATTGGCTAGGTCACTTATATCTGCACAGCCTGAATGCAAGGCACATCCTGTTCAACGGCCGAGACCTCGAGGTTCATTCTACAAGTCGTCCTAGGGTGAATATCTCTTTGTTGTTATGCACATGTTCATCTTTACTAACATCTCGTCTGGAGGAAACGCGCGTACATATCTACACCAACACCATCATTCAGGATGACTCAAACGTAATCTCTCGACTGCTCTCAGTACTCACACCCTGTCAATATACTCAACTCTATGCGTAGGGCCTCACGCAACATGACGAAGATCACAAGGGACGCAATATCACGGCGGACAACAATCTAGTGCCCCTCAAAACCATGAACACCGGTGTGGAGTAGAGGTCCAGTAGTATGTAAATCCTTCACCATGAACGTTCATGTGTTATCCAGCGATAGATATCGTGACGTAGTGACGACGGCCTCCTCATGTGATTGATAATGACTAATTCAGTGTGTTATGTATTCATGCATCTCGTCTTTGTTCGTCAATGAGCGAAAACAAAAGAGGGGAGGGCGTGGGTCGAACACGCGACCTCGGGATGAAAGCATCATTGCAGTCCTACGCTCTACCACTGAGCTACCGCCCCATTGGGAGGTTAGCTTTTGTAAATATTATGTACAGAGGTATATTCTGGCGTTGCTTGTCGAACGCGTTAGCTGCCCATTTGTGAACATTGGCCACAATCGCGCCTCGCCTTCGCCTCCCATCCCCATTTCTGCATTTTGGTAACGCACCGCGCGATGAGCGGACTTGGAAACACAGGCAACAACGCCACGGGTGGTAATCTATTTGGAGGCATCGCAGGGAGCGGTACAACCCCTGCAAGTTTTGGCTTTGGGACTAACTCTGCCACAGCAGGAGGTACGCGTACAGTGATTGTATTACATGCACTGTACAGCTACTCAACAGTTCTCCATCAGCTCAGCAGCCAACGGCGAGCATTTTTGGCGCGTCGACACCAGCGGGGACCTCCGGAACTACCCTCAGTGGCACGACGCTGGGAGCAAACAGTGCTACGGCTTCATCAGGAACGTCTACCGGAGGAGGGATCTTTGGGAACGCGACTAGCGCCCCTCAGACAGGACTCTTTGGAAGCAACACTGCCGCCAACACCTCAAGTACGCCGGGTGGCACAGGAGCAAACATATTCGGTGGCGGAGGTTCTCAAACAACGGGAGGAGGGGGGTTGTTTGGTGGGAATTCTACCCCTGCAACAGGTTCTGGGCTGTTTGGAACCGCAACTACGGGTGCGACGGGTCCTGGTCTGTTTGGTTCAACAGCGACAAATTCTACGGGAACACCAGGTGGTGGGATATTTGGTACTGGCACATCAAATTCGACGACCACTGCCACCACACCTGCAACCGCTGCTGCTGCTGCACCTACGACCACTGCCCCCACGACATCTAACCTATTCAGTGGATTTGCACCATTCAAGCCAGCAGGAACCGATCAGGCAAAGCCTGCTAGTACAAGCTGTACGTATATCGGCTTACTCCCATTGCATTCATATCTAAAACTCGCCATGTTGCATGTACCTAGTCTTCACGCAACCGAACGCCACTACGCCAGCAGCAAATACCTTTGCAGCGACCCCAGCAGCTGCCCCCACAACAGGATCCGGTCTCTTTAGTCTCCCACCCAAACCCGCTGAAGCCGTAAACACTGCAGCTGCTGCAGCGCCATCGACTGCTACACCCGCTCCTGCTGCTACTGGTGGATCTCTGTTTGGCGGCGGGCTCTTTGGGAAGAAGCCAGACGCGCCAGCTGCAACAGGTACATCTGCTACTCCGGCGGCAGGTGCTTCTTGTGAGTGTAGAGATTTCTCGTCCAGTTGCGCTCGATTTGATGGTATGATGTCACAGCGTCGACAAGTTTCTTCACCTTGACGGGTAATAAAGACGCAAATGCAAACAAGCCTGAAGAGAAAAAAGAAGCAGCACCAGCTGCTGCTGCACGTACGTCTAGCATTCTTTGCATCGAAAAATCACTTGAGCACGTTTGTTTTAGCTGCGCTCAACCTGAGCTCGTTCGGTAGTGGCTCCCTTGGAGGAGAGAAGAGTAATGCACCAGCAACGACCGCTACAGGTAAGTGTTCGACTCGGGTTCCTTGGCAGTGACCTTACGTGCTCGTGCGTTATACAGCACAGACAGCCCTAGGTGGGTTCAGCTCGATTGTCTAACATTACGTTATCGACTCACGTTACTTACAGGTCCCTCGTCGACACAACCGGCAGCAACATCAGTGGCAGTCTCCGTTCCACCACCATCTATGTTACGGGGCAAGACCATCGAGGAAATTGTCAATAGATGGACTTCTGATTTGGACGTCCATGTGCGGGAGTTCAACAAGTTCGCGAGTGAGGTTGCCGTCTGGGATCGGGCATTAATTGAGAACAGCAACAACGTAAGTTATGCGTATCTCATCTTTGAAGCTTTCTAACAGAGCGACCAGCTCGCTGCTTTGTATGCAGCACTCCTAGCGGCTGAGCGCGAGCAGACAGCTATCGACCAGTCGCTGGATCATATTGAACAGCAGCAAAAGGATCTATCATCCACTCTTGAGGCGTACGAGAAAGTCACCGACGAGATTCTCGGTGGACAAGGAGGAGGGGCGAACCTGCGAGCATTGGACACCGGTCCAGCAGACACTGAGAGGGACAAAAAGTACGTCTTGTGTTCTTTTGGCGTTTTCATGATTAGCGCATACGTACTCAAATAACTGCAATGATAGCTACGTTCTTGCCACTGAGCTGCATGGACATCTCGACGACCTGTCCGGGTCGCTCACACAGATGATTGAAGCTGTGAACGAGTTGTCAAATTCTCCGGACGGTGCATCTGCATCGAGCGAAGACCCCATGGCGCAGATATCTCAAGTACTGAGCAACCATCTCGAGAGCTTGCAGTGGATAGACGGCGCTGTGAAGGAAATAGATTCCAAGGTGACAGAGGTCGAGCGGCGGGTGAAGGGCGCTGGGGCAGAAGACTCGTCTAGCGGAAGCGTGTATGGAGGGGGACTTGGTGCAAGCAGAGCTCGAGGCTTTGGAGTGAGCAACAGATGATGAACACCTTACTTTTTTTTATACGACGTGTCATTGTCAACGATTGTTGTGTATCATTCATTTCATTGTGACAATTACGGGATCGCCAAGCTCGTAGTCATCTTGGCTTACTGGTCGTTCGTTCAGATCGGACTGGTTCACATGGAGGCAACGACCCTGGACACTCCTAGATGCCGGCGGCAGAATTGAAAATTTGCCGATATGGTCAATCAGCGCATGGTGGCGTCTCAAACCGCTGCTGCTTATGCGTTCACAACATCATAAATCATCGCTATGTATATATATGCCAAGAATCCAGCCATGATACTTTTTTTGCACATCAACATTGACGGTCTATCGCGCAAAATTCAGAGCTCATAAGTACTTTGTCTTTGCGAATTCAAAGTGTTTAACCGGCGATCAAGGGGAGTACTGTATAAGTCACAGCCATCTTCAGGACTGCAAAGAGTTTCAGCGGAGCTAGAACATGACATCCTTAACAGATAAGTAGCTGTGCTGAAGCGTGCTGCATCCTCCCCGACCTCGTGTTCCTAGCTCATATTACTTGTACGTAAACTCCTTTCAACCAATTGCGTGATCATGTTCCATGATGGGGGCGTAAAAGGACCTGTATGTACGGAACAATCACATTCTGTGCATTCGGAAACAAAACGTGGCATCGTGGGTGTACTTAGTGGGATATAGTGTATTGCAAGGGAATGTGGTGAGTCGAACCAAGCATTAAGATGATGAACGAGAGGGAAAACATTGGTGAAGAATCGAAGCGAATAATGTTAAGAAAACAAAGGTACCGTCATGTCCTACGAAAACAGCATATATCGTGCGCACCGTCGAGATCAATCCCCCCGCGAAAGCGCCCTTGCGGACGAAGCCACTTGTGGTAGCTCGTACCGAGGTGACCTCGAACTTTCCTCGCATTATCTATAGGTAATCTAGTGAGGAAGCGTCGTGTCATCGGCTGAGCGAGCTGTTCTTCCGTATCTGCTCTCCCTTGAACCACAGCCAGACGGGGAAAGGTATGCCAAGCACAATCGCGAGACCCGCAAGTAGCGAGTTTCCGCCACCATCTCCAAGTGCCTCGTACATCTGCGCGCCGAACAGAGGGAATGCGAAGCCCAATGTGGAACGGAAAACCTATATTCGACAATCAGAACAAAGTCCTGTCAGAAAAAAATGTCTGGTGAATAGTGTGCGACGGTACGCACTGAAGCGGCTGCGAGTGCGCTGGCGGCATATGTGAAGGTGTCCACGAGATAGAGCTGGATTGGCAGGCTGCACGACAGCACATGTCAGCGTCGATAAGCGCATCCAGATTACACAACACGCACAATGTCGTCATCATCCCGAATCCAAAGATACCAGATCCGATAATTGGCATGATCCAGTGTACCTGCGCCTGAGCAGACCAGCCGTACCAGCTTCACGATGATAAGCAGACAGGCAACATGCACGAATCTGTGGTCACTTACAACAAGCCGATAGGGACGAAGAGGGATCCAAAGATCAGCGCAGGGATACGGTATTCCGGTTTACCCACACCACCGTTCCGCGAAGCGGATAGCTGACAACAATCCAGAGATACGATCAACAGCGTTCGAAGTGGGTAACATATTGTTTTGATTTACCTTGTGGTAGATCTTGTCGGCAACGCTGGCTCCGACAACAGTTGCCAGAAGAAATCCAAATCCGAGACCAAGGTAACAAAGTCCGCTGATACCCACGGAGAAACCGTACACCTCCGTGAAAAGACCTGTAATTGATGTCTGAGCATCAACAACCGGCGAAAAAGGTGGATAAATGGCTCACCCGGGAAGGTGGTGAACATGAGGTAGTAACATCCATACATGCTACGAGCAAACGGTCAGCGCCACGGTAGCTACGACGGGGGGTGGATTCACTCACAAAGCCATGTATAAGCTCAATGTGAAGCAGACAAAGCTGCGAGTGAGCAGGATGAAAGGCCTCTCCAAGTTCACACGAATAAGATGCCACGTGCCGGCATGGTTTGCAATCAGGTGAGGGTGAGACTGTGCAGCCTTCTCTGGATCTATCCCCGAGCGCTTTGCGATGCGCAGACGAATGACTGGGGCGTACGTTTCACGAAGGAATGGTATACCGACGATGGCTGCAAGGCCACAAAGTGCCGAGATGACGATAAACACCCATTTGAACCCGACGGTTTCTGAGATGAAACCGCCTGCTATGGGGCCTATGGCTGGGCCGATCAGAGGACCTAAGCTGTATATTGCCATTGCCGATGCACGGTCCTTTTCTGAGAACAAGTCGCTGATAGTGCCACCACCGCATGCAATGGGAGCACTTCCGACGAGGCCACCTTCTGACGCGTTAGAATAAGCGGAGGGCATGAAAGGGAGAAAAGGTACACACAAAGGAAGCGCATTCCAATCAATGTGCCAGTGTTCGGCGCATACGCGCAGGCCAAGTTGAAAGCCAAGAACAATAAATTATTGATGTGCAATATCTGAGGAGCATGTCAGAATGAACAAATAGTAGAGTATCC